CTCGGAGGCGCTGCTCACCCGCATTGGCTATAAGAAGGCCGTTGTGAACGAGTGGATCAAGCTGTTGCCCGCATAATATGCGGCTGGATCTGGGTAAATCTGTTGATGGGTTATAGCGAGGGGCGCCACGAAATATAGTACATATATGGAACCAAAATAGAATACACACGTTTTTATTTCATTCTCCTATACAAAATAACAATGGAGACTTCCAACCAGATGCAGTTTTGTTAGAATGTATTTGAAAAGGTGTTTCACACTTTTCGAAAAAGTTCGTCTTCTAGTTCAATAGACGTCAGTCTCAGATAGCAAGGATTGAGATAAGTTGTCCACGGGAGTTGGTGAACTGTTGACAAAATCTACAACTAAAATGCAAATACAAGCTGCAAAACGAAATCATATCTATCCAATCTCATTTTAAACACAATAAAGAATATATAAGCAATCGGAATACTTTAGGTTCGCATATACATATGTACTATTCCGTTGCGCCATGGAGGGGTGACTGATAAAATGGTTTAGGTTCATAATAAAAGTCCAAATGCTTTACATAATACATAGAACGTAGTACGTAATTATATGTATATTGCCTATGTACACGGTCAACAATTTTTATTACGCATTGCGATGCGTTTCGATATTGTAAATACATACAGTTTTTAAGGCATAATCAAATTCGAACTGCAAAAAAACAAAATTAATTTTCTAGCGGCAATTGAGGCTAATCCCGTCGCACCTGGATTCGGTGGCGAATTTTATACTTATTTACATACCGCATTAGATGCATACATACATACATTTATCATACAATAATTTACAATATAATTAGGATAGGAGCTGATGGGAGCATAAAACAAAAAACATTGGAAATATACAAAAACAAAAATGACATACGAGCAGAGAGCACAAAGACGAATGTTTGAATTGTTTGAATTGTTGCTTTGAATGCGAAATACTATTCAATTCAAGAATGCCCGTAAATGGTGGACTCTGATAAGATGGGTTATCAGAGACGATCGAGACGAAACGAACGCGGGTAAAACAATTTGTGTGTGGGCCTGATGTTGTAATACAATTTCACTAATTATTAAAACTAAACGAATAGCAAGCGCGTGGTGCTCCCACTCGGCATACCGCTGCCATTTGCCAGCAAACTGTTGCCGCTGGCTGGCATTGTCATTGGCATATGCATGGTTGTCGGCGCTTTCGTTGTCTGCATCTTGTGTAAACCATTTGCCATCACATTCCCATTGATTGGGCTGCGATAATAGTTATCATTTAGCGGCGTATACTTAATGTGATTGCTTTGCGTGTGCGTTGGCAGCTCCCTGGCCTTTGAGATTTGCTTGGCCCTATTGTAGCACAACACACCGATAATGGCCAGTGTCATGCCCAGACAGTTGACCCATGTAACCGGATTGCCCAATATCAGCAGCGAGACGGCAATCACAAATATGCGCTTCGAGGCGCTGGCCACCGCATACGTGAGCGGCGTTACCAGCGACAGCACGCTAAAGGCAATTATGTTTTGCATCCAATTAAGAACGCCATCGGTGAAGAGCAGCGCAATTACCCGGTAGTCAAGATTTTTCTGCAAGTCAAGCGTATACAGGCCATTAAAATTGTCTATACGATTAATCTATTAGGAAATACTTACAATTGCTGAATGCCGGAAAACAGCTAGGCTGTCGACGTACAGCCAGAGGGGCAGGAAAATGAATAGGGATAGCTTGCCCAGCAGATGGAGCAGGCGCAAGTGATGTATGCCCGTATCCTTAAGCACCTGCATACAATTTAGATAGCGTTAAGTGCGGTTCGGGTCACATGTTAAATATATATGTATATGGAAGTTTACCTTCTTGGAGAAGATGTTTTGCAGAGAGAAACCCATCGTGGAAATGAGTGCGCTTATTAGGCCAACCATGTCGAATGAGATTTCCGTAACGGTCGCAATCGCCACGCCCGTTATGATGGGCAACAGGCTCAGGTACACCAGTGTGGGCTGCTTCTCGCCAAAGAAAAGGCGCGTCAGAACAACAGTAAAAAGCGGCATAGTCGCTTTAACTAAATATGCACAGAGTGATCCATATTTGATGACGTGTGTTGCGTTATGTTTTATTTAAAAGTGAACTCACCTGTATGCGCGTAGGAGACGGGTACCTTCCACAGCGATATGTGCGATGTGACCGAGGCGAGCAGCTTGCCAATGGCCAGCGGCACAATTAGCCGCATGTAATAGGAGCGCGGTATATCCTGATATTTGCGTATGCGCCATAAGTTGAAGAAGGGCCCGCTGTATAGCGTGATGCTGCATAACTGGATGAGGGTGACGGTCATCGGGAATGGAAACTCGTTGAGCACCATTTTGCCAATGACATTGTTGCTGGACGAGATCACGTACCAGAAGAGGCACATCAACAGCACGACCGCAACATGACGGGAACTGGTGCGTTTGCCACCCAACATATTTAAATAGTTGCTGTTTTGTTAAGAAGTTGCCGTAGTCAGGTGTCAGCGCCACAGTGTCTCTACCTGTGCGCCTGCCAGTCAGCTGGTCCTTTTTATTGATCTTTGTTTATTGCATCTCGCTGTATGATTCGATTTTAAATAAATATATGCACGTCGACAATGTCGTCCGTTTGTTTTCTACGTGGACGCAACAGTGTGGCCAGACATTGCCGGATATACGGCAAGTGTTGTTAAATGCCGGCACATTGGTCTATCGATAAATATTCAAAATATAATTTACCCAACATTCAGTATTGAACATTAACTGAAATAGCAATTGCAAGAACCAACCGGTTCAATTATCATCATTATGATATATCAAATTTGTATATCGACAAGTGATTTCCTGTTTTGGCGCAAACATTTATTGAAGTGTCTGCATTAAGCTCAGAAAATAAATGCTTTTAAATATATATGTGTATATTAAGTCGATTATTAACTATAAATTCGATTTGGTTTGCGACCATTTAATGGTTTTTTGGTTGGCACTACAGTGCAGGAATCTTTAAGTTAGTGGCCCACTTCGTTGACTTCAGCGCGCTTGATGGCCAGAGCGTGACGCAGCTCCCGGAATAGCTTATCGGCCCAGGATGAGGAGCTAGGATTTGTTGCGCAGAGTTCCTTTAATGCCAGCAATACGTTTGTGTGCTGCTGCGTTAGGTCCGCCTGATCGAAGCGGGGATCCAGCCAATAGACGCCTCTTGGCGCAGACGGCATTGCCTGAACACCAACATCCCGGCTACGGTTGCTAAGTCGCGCGTCCGTTTGAGTCGATACACTCTTGTACAGGCCCGTGGATAGGCACTCGTCTTCCGGTCCGTTCTCCGCCTGCTGCGTGGATCTGAGCTTGTGCAGCGCCATCTTTGGATTCTCTTTAAGCTCCATCAAACGCGCCACATCGATGCCTGTGAGGCGCAACAATGCAGCTGTCGTCTCTGGCAAGCGTTCCAAGCCCCATTTGGTCAAATTTATGTTCGATGCGGACGTCGAATTGAACTTGTACGTAACATTGAAATTGTTGCACAGCGGCGAGGGATTCATGAAGAGGTCACTGTTCATATATGATGCACGGCTGGGCAGCTTCCTGATGGTGTCAACCACAAGGAACACGCTCTCCGGTGCCTTTGACGCCTTTAAACGCATAAGATTAAGCACACTTTTCGCACGCTCCACGGCCAGCCGGCGCTTCTCCCGAACAGTCGGCGGCGGTCCGGCATCCGCTGCTGCTGCTGGTTGCATTAGTTTGTTTATATTAACTACCTTGACGCTCTTCTCGTCGGCATGTACGGGCACAAAGTCGAGTTCCTCGGGTTCCGTTTTTATGACGGGCATAGTACTGTGCCGCGATCCATTGGATCTGTCAGGCTGCATTGTGCGTCGTTCCTTGCGACTTTTTGGTGGACTGCCACTTCGACTGCGATGTCGCTTTTTATGGCTCTCGTGCTTTTTCTCCTTTTTGTGTTTTTTTCTCTTTTTCTCGGCAGTTGAACGCTCCAAATTTTCCAGCTCCCTCCGCCGCTCCTTGATACGTAGCTGTAGCTCTCTCTCTTCTTCGCTGACTGGAATACTTGGTTGTTGTGGCATCGGTGGTGGCTCCAGATCCATATCGTTTAATTGATTCACTTGGCTATATGCACCTGTTACGCCTTCGAAGTCCGTCTCTGACAGGACATCAAGGAAACCCAATTGCAATTCACGGCGTTCCTCCTTCTTAACGGTCACATCGTGCGGAAGCCGCGGCTCCAGTGGATCTGCTAATAGATCATCAAAATAGTTGTCCGGCACATCCGGAAAGCTGCCATTTGCTTGAGATTCTCGTTGAGGCTCTGTAGACTGGGCTCGGTCTGTGGCTGACACTCTCAATGGGGTTTGGTCATATTCATTGGTCGGACTTAGCTTTATGCTCATTTCCTGATCAAGTGACGGTGGTGACGGCGCAGGCGGCATCGCCGTCTGATCCTCATCATCGCTTCCCCAACCTGCTGCCGAAGTTCCGGTGCTGGCAGCTTGGTCCGGCGTGGGGCCGCCTTCGTCACGCAGCGGAGTGCACTCGTTCTCATCGTCTTTGGTTGGCGATTTCTCGCTTTTCACGTCCGTGTAAGCGGCTTCTATTTTCTCGTTTTTAACACGAATTGCATCTTCCATATTATTGGCAACCCAGATAAAAGATGCAATATTCAGTGTGATTGTATCGAGTCAACAAAAATATACCAAGAAATTTGATATTGTTTCTCAGCTCTACAGATGGCTGACAAAATCAAAGTTAATATACAATTTTTGATTATTCCTTAAACAGTTATAGAGCATATGTACACATTTATCTTGGCTTGCAAACCATTGTACTTCATATTTAGTAATTTTTCGTTAAACAAACTATTGAGTATTCTACGCCCATTTTGGTATTTTTATTGAAGCTCTTCAGAACGATAAGAAAGTTATCGAGTTGCCATTGTGCTGCCAATGAAAAATCGATAAATGACAGCTATTGAGTTTTTTTTATTGCAAAGCGATCGTAGGCAGTCGTCTGCTGAAGTGTGAATTTATAAATACAAATTAAATAAAATGAATCGGGCTCGCAGGAACGTTGTCAACAAACCATTTGTTTCGGGAGGCGTTTATGTAAGTTGCAATATTTGAAATTTGTTTAATACATACACACTAACACACATACATACAAATGTATGTATGGAAATGTATTTCATGATTGCATTACTCATTTAACTTCTATTCAATACTGTTATTCCGCAAATGTGTATGTTTTTCTATAATTTTGCAAATATAAAGCAAAAAACAATGAAATATATATACATATGTGCGAAGTATAGATACATATAATGTATACGTACATGTTAACATGAATGTATGTGTATCATTCATCAAACTGAGATGATGTTCTCATTTAGCACTCTTGCATATGTATGCTTCTAGTATACACACACACACACAGACTCACACATGCATATGAAGCTGTAGTTTTAATCGATACTGTGGTATACATGCATACATGTGCACAGTTACAAAATTACTCACCCGCATAGACAAATGTGTGTGTGTGTGTGTGTGTGTGTGTGTGTGTATGTATACATACATACATACACGCACATATGTGCAATGTATCTATGCATATACATTCATTAGTTTTAGTTGTTTGTTTATATTTTGTTTTCTTATCATTAAAACTACAATTTTTGCAATAATAGTAATTCTATTTTTATTTATATAATTTACAGCGCACAAATTGAAAATGTGTGTCTCAAACCAATTGTGAATTTATTTGCAACAGCCAATAAAAGTTTCTTTAATCGCAAGTGTCAAGCGTTGTGTCCAGCCACCTGCTACTCCTCCCCCCCCCCCCCTTCCACACACGCACACACAGACATACACACTGTGAGCCTTGGACCATTTATTTGTACCGCTGGACTTGCCATTTTAGTTACTTTTGGGGGCTGCTGGAAATTAATTCATCCAAAATTGTAACTAAAATTATTAGTTTTGCGTTAGATAGCAATGCTCATTTACCTTCACTTGAGTACCCAAACGAGACACCAAAACGCCAATTCGAGATGATCAAAGGTTTGGGCGGGCATTTACCGCAATTTCAGCCTGGCGTGCCTGGCAGCCCGATGAACACCAATTTCTGGACAGGATTGCGGGCGTTGGTGGTCATTTGGGCGGGGTGCCAAGGTGCCAAGCATTTGATTAATGTGATATGATTAACGTAAACCATCGATTGGTTGGCTCATGGTTTCGTTGGTGCAGTGCGTCTGCATGATTCGTTTGGGCACTTTGGGTTGTAGGAGTGGTCATGGCTATTCCTGAACTATGGTTTTTAGTAGAACCGCCGGCACACGTGCTGCGATATAAAGCCTACCGCCCACGCCGTTAGTAGATCCTTTGAATGGCATGTAAGACATTTCCAAGATTGGTATATGCAAAGGGGCTAAGCAATTGTTGTTGTTGTGGTCGCCTTTGCCCTTATAGCTTAAGTCAGGAGCGTGCGATTTTAATAACCGTAATCCTTTTAATTCGTACAAATTATAATTTATTAATTCAAAATATATTAAATAAAATTAAAATTGAAAAAAAAAAAACAACTAACTAAGCAAATAACTCAATTTAGAAAAATCCTTTCGTAAATTTGTAATTGAATGAAAAAAATATTTTTTTTTTTTTTTTAATTTACTTTTTTAATAATCAAGAAAGTTTCCAATTAGCACGAAAAATAAATTGAATTGGTCGCGAAGCAAAATATTTATATTTGAAAATCAAATAAAAAAAATTTCAATTAAAAAGTTGGGGCATATTTCGTTAGTTGATCGATTAAGAGAATAATTTTCAATACATGCCAAACACTAGCGTCCGGATTTTGCCAATAATTTTTTTTCTTTTGTTGAAAAAAATCAAAAAACAAAAATAATATATATTTGCTGTACGTGCGCTAATAATATTCGACTTTCCCGTCTAGAATCCGAATGCTGCTTCCACGATTCCGCAAGCTGCGCCGTTCGTAGCAACACCGCCGGCACCGCAACCGGCCAAGCCACAGCCGGCCAAGCTGCAGACGGTCAAGGCGCAGCCGGTGGAAAATCATGAAGCGTTGCCCATGCCGATATTCATCAAGGATGAGCCGATTACGCCCGCTGGCGATGACATGGAGGAAGCCGACACGGGCGCCAACAATGACAGCATGGACTTTGCCAGCGTCTTGGATTCGGAAAATGGTGGAAAAATACCATTTAAGAAGATCTTTCAGAAGCGCAAGAAGTCATCGGGTACGTAAATTCATAAATGACGCAACAAGCATACGGAAAAAGCCAGTTGGAAACGCTTAAAAAGATCTGTGGATCATCGAATCGATCATCAGCGGCCTTGGTTTATTAGTTTTGATGTTGAAATACAAGACATAATAATATAATCTAATATGATATTGACAAAATTTGTTGTTTGTTTAGAACGCACACGTGACAAGAAATTGCGGCAAAATCGACAGCTACGCAAATCGATGTTGCCGAAGAACGCACTGATGGCCCTCAACGAGGTGAAGGGCATTAATATCAGTGATTTTACGATTAATAGCAATCCGGATGGCGGCTTTACTGCAATAGTGACCGTGAATACCAGGCAGTACGAGGGCAAGGGCCAATCGAAGATGGCCGCCAAGAATTTGGCGTGTGAGAAGGCTTTGCGTGATTACATCATAGCCAAAATGACGCCAAAGCCAAAGAAAGCACCAAAGCCGGCTAACGATGACGAGCCCGAGGCGATGGAGACCAACGAGACAGAGAATACGGAAAATCCGCCGGAGGATGATGTGCCCATGCTGAACTTGGCCTCGTTTGCCATTTACAAGCTGTTTGCCGAATGGGAGCGAGAGGGTTATGTCGTGCCCGAAATGCATCCATCAGCTGCAAATGCATCTGCACAGCAAAGCGATCCCAATTCGCCAGCTTCGTCCGTTATTGTCACACCAAAGGAGCCAAAGAAGCCGCCCGTGCGCACCGAGCTGCCGGTCAACTGGGCTACCATGCATCCAGCCACATTGTTGTGCGTTGTAAGTGTGCCAATTGTTCAATTGAAATGTCCAAGTGATAGTTTAGTATTTGAACTTTTTTGAACAGATGCGTCCAGGACTTTCGTACATTGATCATGGCTGCACCGGAGAGAAGCCGAATGTTTTGCAGCGTTTGGGCGTCATTGTGGACAATCAGGAGTTCACCGCCACTGGACGTTCCAAAAAGATAGCACGTCGCAATGTTGCTGTCAATGTTTGCAACAGTTTGTTTAACACCAATTTCATATATGAGGAGTATTAGATGGGCAGAAATTTCAGCTGAATCTATGAAAATGCAATAATTTATCTCGACTTTTTAATTGTTTAAATGTGCTTCTACAACTTGACACTTACATAAACCAACCACACTCCGGAGCTACAGTAAATTCGTGACCATAAATATGTACGTAGTTGAATAATTATTGCACACTTTGTAGAGGCTATTGAAATATTGTCAAGCGATATGTTGTGTAAAGCTTAGCATATATATATCCGACCCCTCAAAGTATATACACTTTTGGCCGAGTCGATATAGCCATGTCTGTCCCTTCTGTTTCGAGGCAAACTAGACCGAGTCTCTGTATAGATTAGTCTTTCTGTTGTACGCAGCATATGTATATGTCATTTAGCTGACATAGGATAAAATACAAATTTTTTGTTTTTCAAGATATCTTGGATTTATTAGCTTCAATATGTTCCTAACATTTTAGCAGAATCTTATGAACAAGATACTATTTTATATCGCTGAGTTCTGTAGGGACAATCGGTCGTTTATAAAGCTCCTTCCATGTCATATGTCTGCAAGGATATTTCAACTTTTTAATACATGCTTTAATTTATTCAATACAAATAAAATTTAAAAATCTTCATGGAGCCTATGTATTTGATTTCGTCATCTCCAGTGTTGGAAATTCATTTATCAAGTTAAGCTGATAAGTTATTTTGCGTGTAATCGAACACAGCTGTAAATATCTTACGGCTGGACAAAACTTTCTTAACTGTGTATCTACTTAGCAATTTAAAATTGACAATTGAAATTCTGCGCCAAAAGAGATTAAAGTAGAGCCATATATGAGTGCGTGCAATAATTGGCGAACAAATCTTAGCAGAAGGTATCGTATAATCGATAGTTGAACAATATGGTAACAGATATCGTATACATATATACCTACATTTTTAAACTGTCTGGCAACATTAAACACAACAGCTGATGTATTGTTAGGACACAAGTGAAAACATATATATATATTGATTGCTGCGCAATGTCAAAATTAATTTCATACGCTGCTAAAAACACTTTGCGTAATACGCGCCTTGGTGCAAATCCAATGTATGTACGATTTTGATTTGTCGAATTATTGAAATAATTTTGCAATTTGAATGCTAGCTGTCAGCATGCAACCAGAGATTACATGCACCTGGCTGCTGCGTCCGCGGCACGTAACACATATTCAACTCCGGCTGTCGGCTTTGCCAAACAGCCGGTACTCCGGCAGGCAGTGAACACAGTTGCGGTGATGGGACAGATTTCAAGGCGCAGCATGTTTATTCAGACACAGGACACACCGAACCCGGAGAGCCTTAAGTTTTTGCCCGGCGTTGATGTGTTGGGCAAGGGAAATACATATGACTTTCCTAGTGGCTCGGCGGCACATTGTAGTCCATTGGGTGAGACGTGTTCGATGTGATCACTTTAGACAATTATATAACTTGCATAATTGCAGCCAAGCTACTGTTTCGTGTGGAAGGCGTACGTGCTGTATTCTTTGGTGGAGATTTCATAACTATATCCAAGGAGGAAAGTGGAGAATGGGGCCTCATAAAACCGGAGGTTTTTGCTGTCATTATGGACTTCTTTGCCAGCGGCTTGCCCGTTATACACGAGGCGCGTCCCAATGCAGATACAGAAATTTTAGAGGATGATGATGAGACGGTTATGATGATTAAAGAGCTACTGGATACGCGCATACGACCGACCGTACAGGAGGATGGCGGCGATATTGTTTTTATGGGCTATGAGAATGGCATTGTCAAATTGAAAATGCAGGGCTCGTGCTCATCATGCCCCAGTTCCATTGTTACATTGAAGAATGGTGTACAGAATATGCTACAGTTCTATATACCAGAAGTGGAATCCGTCGAACAGGTGTTTGATGACGCTGACAAAATGGCAAATAAGGAATTCGAGCGCTTTGAGAAGAGTTTAATGCAAAAAGAGTCAGTTAATCAACCAAATGCGCCTGTCAACATTGGTGGTGGTACACCAAATTAAACGTGTTATAATTGTTTCTATCTTTAGTAGGTTTAGAACTATATACATAAACATATGTAATAATATGTGTGCATGTATATTTGCTTAAATAATGTACAGCCTTAAAACGAATATTTTGACCGTTATATATGTGTTTCAATGCTCAGTGCGTGGTGTGTGTGTGTGTGGGGGGGGGGGGGGTCGTATTTATTTTACCTCAACGAACGTATGAGTATAATCGCTCATTTAATAAACAATATGGTGTTAAATCAATTATAAGTATTTAAAAATTTCAGATATATAAATTGAATAACGACCACAGCAGTGTTGGGCAATGCCGATATTAAAATATCGTTGGAAGTACCATTCGTACACATCATTGATAAGTATCGTTATCGATATACATATATATATATATATACAACTAGCTGTCGCACACTCATACACAAAACGAACAAGCGCATTAAACAAATCAAACTGTTCCCCAATTGATATTCATAGAAATAATAAAACGTGTGCAACTTAACTGAAACCCACCTGGCTATATCAATTGTAAGCAACCGATAAACAATATATACGGGCATATACTGCAATCACAGTGTAAACAATTTTGAAGCGCAAGTTTCGCAAGCCCCGCATAGGAAATTGTTAAATATGGTCAGGCTTTTCGCACTGAGTGTCTTTTTCAAGGGTGCCAGCGAAGCGCGGCTATTAAAGACCACATCCGACTTGCAGTCCTTTTCATTTTTTCAACGTGGCACAGTCAATGAGTTCATGACGTGAGTAGTCAACGCTTTTGGGTGTTACGGCGACGGCGCAATTCGCCCGCCGTCGTCTCCCCATTTATTGCCCCATTTAACACATATGCTTGTACATTTTGACTTGAATCGGTTCGCATTTTCTCACAGCTTTGCCTCGAAGACAATCGTGGAACGAACCCAGCCGGCGCTGCGACAGTCTGTTAAACAGGATGCCTACATGTGCCATGTCTATGTGCGGGCCGATAATTTGGCTGGCGTTCTTATCGCTGATCACGAGTATCCGCACCGTGTCGCGCACACGTTAATCACAAAAATACTGGATGACTTTGCGGCCAAGGTGTCGGCCGAACAATGGCCCAACGGTACGGAGGCAACAATTGCATTTGATTCGTTGCCAGCGTTTTTGGCCAAATACCAGGATCCCAAGGAGGCCGATCCGATAACGAAAATGCAAACCGATTTGGATGAAACCAAAATCATATTGAAGAACACAATCGAATCGGTGCTGGAGCGTGGCGAAAAACTCGAGGATATGGTTACCAAATCGGAGCAGCTATCCATGCAAAGCAAGGCCTTCTACAAGACAGCGAAAAAGACCAATTCCTGTTGCAGCTTCGCCTAAACTAACCAAAGGGCGCAGATATCGAAAAAAAAACACCACATAAAACACACAAACACAAAAAAAAAAAAGGAAAGAAACACCAACAAACTGGACACGAAACAAGCAGCGACGGCGCGGCATTGGCTTAGAATTTGTATGCTTTTTATAACATAATTAGTTAATTTTATATTTAATATATACATATATGAAACTAAACTATACTAAACATGCCCAAGTATTTATACGTACGCATATGCAACGGCACGAATGTGCTGCAACTCATATATGTACGCCCATTATGTGTGTTAAACGTTCAACTCGGCATCTTGTTCTCTGCATGTCTAGGGTAATGCTACAGATAATGTTATACATATATATATATATATATGCAATTATACCAATACAATTATGATATACATACATTATATATATATATATGCGTAGTTTGTGTAAGCGCAAGTCTGTGTGCAATTTAAGAATATGTGTCTATCTCCTTCGGTTATGTGCTCGCATCTTTTTTTTTGTTTTCAAATAGCTTTTGTCTTGTGTCTGCCCGCCGCCTAAGTCGATGTCGATTTATTATTATATGCGTACATCTGTGTGTATCTATGTACATATTTAGGTTTCTCAATAAGTTTTAGACGCGCTGTGTAAGCGACTTTCAACTGCCGAATACTCAACCGAGTAGCCCCAAGGCAACTTCTGTCTGGGCTACGAATAAAAATTACTATCCCAAAACTGATTGAAATGTTTTAGATACTTGAAATACGCTTTGCTCACAAACAAAATGGACTCGCATTTGCAATCACCCTGTTAACAGAGTATTGGGCAGTCGGTTTCGTTTGTACGTGCTTATTATTTAATTGTACACGTATATATATATATAATCCCACCAAACGATTTTAACAATATTCCAATTAAATTTATTCGAAATACTTTTAAAAATACACATTCCTTGCAAATACTTAAAGAAGATTTTGATTGAATTTTATCGCATTAAAACGATAAAAAGTTTCCAAGTATTTATGCATATTTTAAAGCAAGTTTGAAAAATATTAGTTTTGTTTTTAAATGTATTCCAAACACATTTGCCGTATAACAGAATTTTTAAACAGTTTCCAATTTCTAGCAAAAAAAAAAAAGGAATTCCTTAGTAAAGGGAATCCTAAAAAGATTTTCAATTTCAATTATATTTTGTTTAGATTTTAAAGATATTTTCAAATAAATGCTTGTTACAAGTATGCAAAGGCACAAAAGGAATATAGTCTTTATTGTATTCAAATGAAAACAGTTGTCGTTGCAGGCTAAGGAGTTGTAGGATTAGTAGGAGTAGCAACTGCCCCTCCCCTGAGTATTGTTTAGTGTCGTTGCTTGACATGCATAGCCAAAAGCTTTGTTTTGATACGTTTGCGATCCCGCGCGATAATCTCCATGCGCTCCTTGATGCTCGTCTGGAAGAAGATCAGATGCAGCGTGCGGCTGGCCGAGCACAGCTAAAGATGAAACAAATTAGCCAATTATAGAACGTAGTTTATTTCGAATTTAAACTAAACGACTCTCACCTGCTGCAAGAGGCGCGCCTTAAGGCGTATATTTGCCGGCTCCTCCTGGTCGAGACTGTTGCCGTACGTCTCCAGATGCAGATTGAGCACAAAGATGAGCGTATCGCGTATAGTCTGAACAATGCGCTGCACTTGCTCGGTCCGGAATAGACGGCGCACCAAATAGCCGCGCGCAGCGGCATTCACAACTGTGGCGGCTATGTGACGTCGCTGCGTCTTCAGCTCGTCCGTGGACAGCTAGTGATGATCAGAGTGAGGCATGTGAGTGAGGGCGTGGCAATATTGTGACTTGTATTAGTGGGTTATGGTTAGTTTGCTCTTGCTCTTTTTTATTAAGCAATCGAATGGGAAACGTTTCGAATTCTTAGGCAATATAACTACGTATATATATATATATATATATGTATATATGTATAGATTGGTTCCCAAAGATTGCCCAACGTTGGGCTTAAGGCACTTGCTTGGCTTCGATTTGTTTATCAATTACTTCTTGGCCACAAAGCGCTGCTGGTGGAGCAAAACAAATCGCATTTAGAGCAAGATAGAGATGGAGAGAGGAAGAAATTTCAATTAGCATATGTGGCCCAACTCTGGGCAAAGACTCTACTTACGGTCTGACGGCTGGGCGAGCCACTCCGACGCGTCTTCGATATTGTTTGCTGTTGTGGCTGGTTGCGTGAATTGCCCTTGGTTGGCGACGTTGTCGTCTTGTTGTTGACTCTACGCGCTGGCGGCGACTTGCCCTGAGCCACTGGACTGCTGCTCGACATCTTGGATCCGGGCGGCTTTGAATGGCTGCGCTGCACTGGCTTTTTAATTTTAGTGCTATTATTGCTTCTGCTGCGCAGCGAAATAGATCTCGGCGAGCTGGAAGCACTCTGCAGCAGCTGCGGCAGCAGCTCCATCGCCTCCTCGTCGTCATCGTCGTCGTTGACGTTTTCGTTGTCGTTGTCCACGTCAAAGAGCCGCTTGCGTGCCGTATTTGACACAGAATCCTTGTCCAGCAACTCATCGACTTGCGCATAGCTATGCGGCGTTGTTTCAAGTGAATTGAGCGTAACCGTATTGGCCGGCGAGGAGGAGTGTGACGGCGTGGGTAAATCATCCGTGCTTGTGTATTCGGAGATGCCGCTCGGGCTGCGCGCGTCTGTGATCGGCTCGTGGGCATACGCGGACACATTTATCTCCGCACATATCTGTTCGATGAGAAACTTTTGCTGGCGATCAAATTCCTCCTGCATGCGACGCTGCTCCTCGTGCTGGTACTGAACCAACTGCTGAAAACGATCTCGATGCGCGCTTTTAATATCCTTAAACATCTTTCGCTTGGCCACCGCCAGCTGCTTGCGTTCCAGCTGCTCTTGTTCCACCCGCACGTCGTGTGTCTCGTGCAGCGCACGCTGCAACAGCTGTTCGAGTTGCTGCTGCTGCTGCTGGGCCGCCGTGTTGCCGCCACTTCGCCTTCCTGCCGCTGGCGATTTGTATGGATCGACGCAGCTGGCGCTTGCACTGCGCTGCACTTGCTTCGCCTTGGACTCGACGGTGTCGCGGCGCAAATGCGCCAAACTCTGCACTGACGAGCTGCACGCAACATTGGCTGGCAGTACAAAACGGCAGCGAGGCGATGTCGGCCCCGTTGTCGCTGAGCGCGGCGGTGGCAGTGGCGGCGGTATGGGCGGCTTTTTGCCCTCGCGTTGCATATGCTCGACGAGCGCCTGTGACGGCTGTTCCAGCGTAAAGGAGCGCGACCGATGCAATTGCGTCATATTTATTTCGGCAGCGCTCAGCGACGGACTGGTGCTTGAGCGCAGCATTTGCTTATCCGCAGCAGCCAGAGCCTCATTCTGCCACAACAATTCGGCCGGCTGCGGCTGCAACGGCGTCTTCCGGCCCAATCCAGTGCGCTCAAACTGAAGTATGCGGCTGGTTATGTTGTTCAGCTTGCGATGCTGTGTGCTCAGGGCGCGACTGCAGCCTCTCGATGCTGGAGCTGTACATGTGGCTGCCTTTGGCTGTTCGCACTGTGGCGTTGGCGGATTAACGCAAATGGTAGGTATCAGGCAACTGTCTGACGCACTCTTTGGCTCAAAGTCAAGCGTTTGGGGACGATTACGCGGGCCATTAACTGGATCCGGCAGCATAGGCTTCTGTTTGCGTGTGCTGTCATAGATGAACGTCTCCGTTTGCTGCAGCTGTGGCAATCTCTGTGTGTTCTCCATGCTGGTGTCGTTGCTTAAGTCGCAGCTGCTGTTGCTGCTGCTGTTGTTGTGACTGCTATGCCCACTGCTTGTGCTGTCGGACGCAGCAGCTTCTTGTTCCCCAATGGTTGATGTTGATCTGACGGCGTGCGCCTGCCTGTACTTGGCCTCCAGTTGCACGGCTTGCTGTCGCAGCTGCTGCATCCGGTGTCGCTTTTCCGCCGTCATCTGTTTGGGTTTATGCTTGAGTGATGGCACGCCCGCAATTTAACATAGCTACTCACCAGTGGCGGCAATATGGGCTGGCCATCGATGCGGAACTGGGACACGTATTCAGACGGTACTGGGAGCTGATTGGGATTGCTGCTGGGCGTGTCGATATCTGTGTCTGTCTTTAATGTCGTCGATATTGTGGCCTCGTTTTGTTCTGTGGCGGCACGCAGCATATCCATCGCCAAGCTGTACAATTGGAAGCCACATTTGCAAATAACAACAAAATGAAAACACAATTCGATCTATTTAACCCACCTTGCATTATCCATATCCATGGGCAAGTTTTTTTTTTTATTTTTTTTGTTTATGTCTGTGCACTTAAAATTTTGAATGTTCTGTTTGAAAAATGCCAAACGATTTAGCTAGCGTGCCCTTTTTGCGCGAGAAACGCAACCCAAAAGCAATATTAAAAGCAAACAATTGTTCATTTGTTGTGCCTCCGTTGGTCGCTATGACAACTTTCAAGGGCAACTGCGCGCTTTGAACGGCGTCTGCTGCCACATCCAGGCTAACAAAAGCAAAACAACAAATAAAAAAGATAAAACTAAAAGAAATAGGCAACAAGAAAATCTAAAAACTGTTTGGCGTTTGCTTTTATGTCCCACTTTGTGCATGAGCCTGCCAGCTTGTTTGAGTTTTTGAATTCAATTTTCATTGCAACAAGTTGGCAGCTCTGGCAGCTGCGCGCTCAGTAGGTACAGGGTATTTTGCGTGCGCTGTCCAGGAACGTGCGTCAAATTAGCGGCGGTGCCATTTTTGGAGAAAACATAAATGTTGAAATAGGTTCAAATATTGCCATCTTTTTGTTATAATTCTGTGTATAAATACTTGCCTAATTTAGCAACATTATATTTTACCAAAGAGAATTGTAAAGTGCAAATATATTTAAGTCTTTATTTCCTTTATGTGTACAATTAATTTGAATTCATTTATTCGCGCTCAATACTGCATAAAATTGTTCAGCACTGATTCCAGCCAGTGGTTCCAGCTCCTTTGGACCAGGTTCGGCAGGCTGTTTGATTTATTACTTATATTTTGTTCTAAAAAACTGAAATTCTAAAACCAAAAAATGTAGACAGTAAAGAATTAAATATTTTGCAATTTTCCATTAAAATTTATTTGGTTTTGTGCTTAAAAACATTAATAAACGCAATTAAGTAAGTGATGCCGGCTTCGATACCAAGTACCAAAAATCGACGCCAATTCCCCGCCGCTAATTTGACGCAAGTCAGGAAATCGATATCAATGGTAGTTGTAGTAGTTATCGAAATGTCGATTAATCATCGGTCGAACCGCAGGTTTACATTGGCGTAACATAGCATTTGATATCGTGTTGCGCGTTTCGTAGCTGATTCGTTGTTATTATCAATTTTTTTGTTTTTGTTTATAGTGCCGTTAAAAACGTAACAAGCAGGCAGGAAACAGTGACGCGCAAGCCCAAATAATAAATCAAAAGTATATTGTTTCTTTTTTCTCTCGTGGGTGCCAAACAATAAACTGTCTTGCAGAAGGACGTAATAACAGCCCCCCTCTAAGAATCATCCTCAACCGCCCCCGCCCACGACGCGTCTAACATCGTTCGCTGTTTTGTTTGTGCTGTTGCGCGCTGGCTGCTCCAGGCGACTTTGAATGTGTGTGTGTGTGCGTGTGCGAATTACAAAATTAAATAATTTAATAACTACAGCCATACAAACATATATGTATGTATATTTCTGAGTTAAGAAATAACAATTCGCTAAAAAAAAAAAGAAAAACAAAACTCACATGTGCGCGTAAAATATATAGCCTTGTACATGCTTGTGTATCTGAGTTGTGTGTGTGGGTGCTGTTATCCAGAGCAGCTGCCCTTTGTGTGGGTTGGGAGTATTAAGCTGTGTTACTGTAACTGCGTTTTAGTTTCTACTAACGGGAGGCGCGTTTCAGCGTGTTATTTGCTATTCTTTTTGAGTTTATTTTTTGCAAGGGACTAGCGAAACGAAGAGGGACGGACACACACGAGTGTCAAGTCACTTGACTGGCCGTTTGCTTTATTTGCGTTGCTTAATTATGTACATATATATAAATATATATATAATTATTGTACGTGCAAGAACAATTTAGAGTAAAAGAATGACACACTGTCTACGCACAAGTATATACATATATATATGTATGTACATGTACATATATATACATACATTGATATGTATGTATGTGTGTACATAAATTCTGCGACGCAATTGAAGACATCGAAGGCCAAACAACTTTGCCGTTTTTTGTTTTCGCCTTCTTTTTACGCTTTTCTGTTAGTGGCCTTTGTTTTTGTTATCACAACTTCACTCACAATTCTCACACTATTTGCTGTTGATTGCCAACGCGTGCGCTCATTCTCAATGCCAAAACGCCAACGCAGTCCCACTCAAATACGGAGCTGCGCTCAAACGAACTAACTGTAAAGTGAACAGTTAACAGTTTTAAAATGCAATTATTTTGAGGATTTCTGCAAGGAACTTGCATACATACAAACATACGTACGCAGTGTTAGTTTCTTTGTTCTTGTTTGTATACCCTATTTTCGAAGTGAACAAAAGTATATTGCCATGCAAATTCCTATATTTTTTTTTTAGTCTCAGTCACTAACTGCATCTATTTCTATATATTTGTTAATCTGCTCGATAGTTGAACAAATTTGGATTTGCTCTCATTACTTGAGCTGGCATAACATTTATAACAGAGTATTGCGCAGTCGGCTAATACCAACTGTATAGCTTCTGTCCATGGCGCTGAGTCGCTGGCGAACGTTGAAAGCATCTGCCAGCGCCCTATATTATAAACATAGCTTTTTGTCCCAAATCCAACGTACAACGTACAATAACGATAATAACAAGAAGTCGCAATTATTTTCGTATGGCCGAAGATTAAATACTCTTGCCGTAGATCTGCACAGAGACATGTTATGGCAAATTTATAAAAAAAATAATAATAATAATGTGAACAACAGCAAGATTGTTTTTCCTTTTTGGACATTTCGTTTGCATTTATTTTTGGTAAATTGCCATATTTTGTTGTTGTTTGTTTTCATGCAGCAATATTTCATTTCTACGCAGCAGCAGCGGCAGCAGCAGCGGCAGCGGCCGGAAAAACAAGTTGGCTCAGTGCCCCGTTGCCATATTGACATATTCTCGCTGCGCATTCAGTGGTAAAGTGCAGGTGCGCAGTTTGTAACGGCGCCCATGCGCGGACAGCTGATCGATAAAAATCGATTGAAACTAACCTAACCTAACGGCAATTCAGTTTCAAATAATAAATAAAACCATATCACCATCAGCTGCATCACTAAAAACAAAAAAAAAAAAAAAACAGAGAACACAAATTGCAGCAGGCTGCGATATAAACAATAAAAATATATATATATATATATAAACGTAACAAAAATATGTTTCAAATTCCACGACCATCGCGGGTAACGCTGCAAGGCGCTGCCATAGCGCTCGGCATGGTGATGTTAATGTCCTGGTAAGTACTAATGCGTACGTTATACAGTGAATGCTCGCTAGAGCGTACACCAATAGCTAAACTCGTTTTGGCCTGTTCAAAAATATGCAAAAAAAAAAACTAACAAAATCGCAGAGTGTTGCCAATTTAGCTATTTTCTAGCCAAATTCAGATATATTTCAGACGTAAATCCAAAAAAAATGTTGCTATTCAAACTGATTTAGCTAGTTGCTTGCAACTCTGTTTAGCGCAAATTCAGCTGCTTTAAGCTATTTTAAACGTGCGATTTAGCTATTTATATAATATTTTCTTGAATCGGCAACTAATGAATGCACGCTTCAGCGGGTTTGGGCGGAAAATGAGTGAAAACCTGACAGTGTTACAATTTTGAACAGAACAAGTCGCCCGGATTAAGCCAATAAATAATTGCTAGTATATCCGTATATGTACATATATATATATATACATATATTGCAAGCTATCACACGCATTTAGTTAATTATTTAAACTTTTAAGTGCACTCACGCCTTGCAATTTGGGTCACAAACCAAATGCATTTGCATTCACATGCCTCGCGCATACCCATTCCAAAAGGAAGCGAAACTAAAATAAATTCAATGGCCGGCGACAACGACGCAGCTTTTTAAAGCGAAAGCATGACAGGAAGAGCGAGAAAGAGAGAGAGGGAGAGGGAAAAGAGAGAGAGAGACGGACTAAACGTCGCGTGGCCAGTGCGCTGATACCCTTGCACAGGCTATTCACACTTAGTCACGACAAATAGAAAGCAAAAAGTTTGAGAATTTAACGAAATTAAAATTGAAAATATTTTCTGGTATATATAATATAAATATGTATATAAATAATTGATTGAAAAACTTCATCAATTAATATATCAGTTAGGGTATTTAAATGTCGGCATTGCTTAAATAACTTCCTTGTATATTTGAAAGTTGTAATGTTTTATTTTGGGCATAGACATATATGTATACACGCCTGCATATATATATGTATATGTATATGTACGTGCTTACACCTTCGTTCTGGCTGGCTGCTGGCCCGGCTGGCCCCACAACCCCCACCCTATCGCTGGCCCTGCCTTTCTTCGCGATGGCGCGTACATGCAACTGTATTAGTGTGTGGTTGACGGTCAGCCGCGTTGTTTTTGTGCTGGCTTTTTACGTATGCACACATGCACACATGCACACATGTACACATGTATATGTGCGCATATCTATAGATACACGCCTAACGGTGTGTGCGTTTCTGTGTCTTTGTGTGGCGCAATTAACCAAAGAAAAATGCAGCAGAAATGATTCCGCACGCAGCCTCAGGCAGAGCTTGCCAGTTAATATACATACACAAGTACATCTATATATATATATACATATATGTGTCGTACATTCGCACTTATATACATATGTATACATACATGTATGTACTTAATCATGCACACGTTTGTATTTGTATAAAACGGTGTCTAAAGAGCAGAATCAAGGCACGAAATGCACTTGTTCTATTCATTTGTTGTATTACTTTGTTTATCATCCGACTATCAGTAAAAAAAAAAAAAAAAAAAAAACAGCTACAATTGCCGTTTTTTTTTTTGTAGCTAAAGGTTGTTTGTCAGGCAACGGACGCCAACAAATGCCAATAACAATAACAACGGCAACAAATTCAAAAACAAATACCGTTATCCGACACAAATGTCAAACACAAACTCGATAGCTTTGCGCACAGAAAATAATCGATAACAGCTATAAATAAACGTCAAGTCGATCAAAAATAAATAAATAAATAAAGTAGCCATATCTGTTACAGTTTTAGAGCGAGTGTGACCAAAATTGGAACGCAAACGAACGAGATGAGCTCCTTTGAGAATTATTCTAAAAATATTTTGACTTTGCCGGAGAATTTGTATCGCTTGGTTCATTTTTCAGCGTATACCAGATCCCAAATTCTCACTTTTTATATGTCTAGTTTTGCCTGTAAAAACGGATTATTGAATGACAAAAATTACCTGAAATTATCTAAGCTCTGCCGTAATAATAATAATAAGAACAATCTCTTAATACTTATATATAATTATATATGTAGTTAGTTTGAATAAAATTAGACGAAAAGAGAGTTCTTTCGGTGGGATACTTCAATTGGAGCTATATGGTATTCTATTCCCCCCGTGGATATAATACATATGATATGATTTAATATGAAAATAAGAAAATGTTAATGGGAGCTTTATTATATATAGAGTTTAAATGCTTCGAACTATGCCTAAAAGTAAACATAATTTTGTTGAGCTCGGTAAATAATAATATAAAAACTTGTTGACACGAAAGCTTTACTTGCGATCGATCAAAAATCAGCCCTATAATTAACTGATCCGATCCGGCGGGACGTTTCAAGTAAAAGTGCATTAGTTCAATGCAATCAAAATTGATTAGCAAAGTTCATAAACCCAGATACCCACTATATATAGAGCTATATATATATATATATATGTATATATATATACGGAAATGTTGGATCTATACCAAGTCTGTCTCCCAGAGTCCCTAAGAACTAGAAACTTTGAACTCTTGGCAGTTTGGAAAGTAAGTCCATTTATTGGAAGCGCAGATAGAAGATTTTACAGGCGGACATCTGAGATCACACAAGGGTGCTGACCAACGGAAAGAGTATTCGATTTGGCACTGTCAGCTGTTCCGTCCGATTGCCATTTGCCCTCTGGCAAGAACTTTGTAAGCAGACGCGATCGGGAAGTAAACAAAAACTAGCTGTGAAAGGCAAACAATGAGATAATGATAGACATTTTTAGGTGTTTTTTTTTTTTTTTTTGCTTTTATTTTTTATGAAGAAGTGCGACTATTTCTGGCACGCCAACGATTAAATACCCTTGCAGGCATTCCGATCAATTGTTTCCATAGAAGCATATGGCTCCTCCTCTTGTTCGACTTGGATGTTATACACTTTATAGCTGCACCTATGACAACATTTGAATACCCTCTGAATCGTAAATACTTCTAATCGCAAATACATACCCTCTAGAGTATGGAAGTGACTTTGTTGTGCGACTACGCCTTTTGTTATTGCCATTTTAGATAGAACGCACATTGAGAAAATGACTACTTTCGCTGTTTGTCCCACATTTAACAATCTAATCTTTTTGTGTATATACATATATATATATAGTATAATTTGACGTACATGGGTATAATTTAACGTTTCAGAGATTTATTGCCATATATTCTGCCTACGGAGCTCATTTATTTATCTGTCTTTCAATTTAAGATGCGATTGTTATAAACCCATCTGTGTACATGTTTATACAATAGAGATACCCCTTGCGTGCTAAATGGCTACGGGGTATGCCCGATAGCCAGACCGTTTTCGTATTTAAATTATTGCATTCCGATTATCAAATGTGCTGAATCTTATTGCTATGTGAAATATATCGATGTGATGTATCGATATACATATACTCGATTGCTAATAAGCGGGAACTATCGATATTTTGAAATAATCTTAACTTAAACTCTAATTAACTATCTCCGTCAGGAGAATAGTGAAGCTCGTAATTGCTGAGTTCAGTAAAAATAACTGGAAAAACAGACAATTTGGCCATATAAAATCTTATTCTTTCTTCCCGAAAAGTTAAACAAGCTAGAAATGCGAATTTTTAAAGATTTGACTGAAACTTAGTTAAATAAATAAATGACAGATTTAGGCAAATATCTTAATAGCCAAGATATGTATGTATCTGACAGAAAGAAAGACTAGACTAGAGAGCAAAACAGGACAGTCGGACGGAGGAATGGAGGGACATGGGTTGATTGCCATCAATAATATATGTATATAGTTTATCGCTACACTTTTCGTGACGAAACTTCCTTTGCAGGAAAAAGGCAACATTTGTTGCATAGTCTAATTGATAAATCCGCTTAAATGTCCAATAATTAATCAGAAACTTGAAGAATTCAAGCCAGTTTCTGTTGTTTGTTTCCGCGCAGAGCTAGCGAGAGAGACGGAGAGAGAGAAAGAGAGAGAGGAGGGGAGTGGATCTTTGCATAACCTGTAGATTCAGTCAGTCATATTTCCAGCTAAGGGAACTACACAGAACAAGAAGAAGCAGAAGAGAAACAAACACGGATCAGCTGAGCTCGCGTCACGTTAACGAAACTAAACGCAAAACCTGGTTTGTGAAAGATTATAATATATGATGATGCTATCGGCATTAACAGCAGAAGCAGCAGAAGCAGCAGCAGCAGCTGTGAGTGCTTCCTGTTAGAACATGTTTTTCGGCCAGCTAACAAAAATTTGTTGGTAATTGATGAGATGAGACAAGTTGGAAGAAGTTGGCAAGTCGCATTTATGCTGGGCCCGTCGCCAGCTACAGTTTATCTAGCTAGTGCTCTGCCTGATATTAACGCAACGATCCTTTGCATATTTGGTATTTTATTTAATTTTCAGTGTACGTCCTCTGGGTGTGCTGTTCCTGGGCCTATTCAGCTACTGGTTGTATTGGACACGGTGCAGTTTTCGTGTTGTACTCACACCGCAGCTGCGCGAAAAGCTCGAATCGTGGTTGCATCGCATCGAGGATTGGCGTCGCAATTCGCCCAGCATGTTCTGTTTGGTTAGCAGCGGCAGCCTGGCCACCCTTGCCGTGCTGGGCCATCTAATATCGGGCTCCACGCTGGTGCTGGCACTGTTGGTGATCTCTGCACTCGTATCCACCAAATACAATTTCAAGTTGCTGCAAATCGAACACAAAGGTAAATGTATTGCATTTTATTTTGTTTGGCATTCGTAGCTAAAATGTTGTCCATTGCAGATTTTCAATGGTCGGAGAAGATCAACTACAACAATGCCGAGGCCGAGCTAGATGATGAATTTATGCCGGATGTTAACGAATCGAATCTATTTGTGTTGGAACGGGCCAGCGATGTGGCCACCATCAGTTCACCCACCGACGCCGATGGCGTTGGCGAAGGGGATGATGATGAGTGCAGCGACGATATACCCTCCGAGCTGCTTATACCCGATTCCATACCCGAAATCGATGAGCATTCAACGGACGAGGACGATGAGTTGGTGCCGCTTTCGCAGCCCAAGCAAAGTGCGGCGGAATCAAACGCTGCTCCACAACAACAACAACAACAATACGAGCAGAGCAGGCCAGCCGAGGGCGAACAGTCAACTGCGGAGAAGTCAATGGACTTTCGCAGAGGGCACTTTAAGCGTGACTCCTCGTTGTCAACCACCTCATCATCATCCGAGGAAAGCCTATCGAAGGGCCTGCAATTTCCCGACCACACCAGCGTCGATGCCGGCGGCTCCAATCCACTGCGACAGCTAACTGAAGCGCCCAGTGATCCCGCTGCCAGCAACAGCTCTCTAATGGCGCTGGCCGTTAAAACGCAGGCGCAGGCACTCCTGCCCAGCCTCATGACCAATCTGGTTAAATGGGGCGCCAACCAGGTGGACAGCACCGATAATGCGGCGGCGCTGGCCAAATATCAGCGACGCCAAGTGACCGCGCTGGACTCATCCGATGAGAGCGACTTTGAGATACTCGAAACGGATGACTTTAAGTAAACTACTATACGGCAGCGTATTACCAACTAATATCTTAAATATACATATACATATATCTATATATATATATATATATATATATATATATATATATATATATATATATATGCATATATATGCATACAGATGCACAGATGCTTATAAAACAAATTGGATATCAGAACTGTTCTGTTCTGTTCTGTTCCGTTCTGGCAATAGATATTTTTGCATGCCATATGAGAAAGCGATGCAGGCAGTTTATAATTTGCGGCTTTATACTGAGAAAATGTATGTATTGTAACTCTACGCTATATTGATGATCTGCATATATACTATTTTATATAGGTTTTGTAATATTCGCTTTATCTACGACATCCATTTTAAGTTCTGTTCCGTTCGCTGTGCCTGTGTAAATTGTATTTTTTTTTTGTTTTTTCTTTTATTTTAAATTTTAGTCTTAGTCTCTATTATTTTTTTTTTTATATTATTATTATCATTATTGTGTTTTGGAGCAGCGGTTAAGTTACTAAAGACGCAAATTAAAATTGATTTGAGTTTCGTTTAGGATTTCAATTAGCAGTATGCAAAAATGTAAATAATATATCAATATTCATATACATTTATACGGATACTCATGCAAATGTTGAGCTACTTAAATTGTACCCACAGCGTTAAGGAAAGGAAAATCGGGCAAATCCTCTATAAAGTTGATGCGGTGCTATAAACCATATTTAAACAAAAACAAAGGGAAAATCGCTTAAGAGAAATTTGACAAAATTGTGTATAAAAGAATTGCTCTCTTTAGCGATTGATGCTATTTACAGATGATTAAACGAAATAAAATCAAATTATTTAAACATTTTTCTGTGACCATTAACAGCCTGTAACAAAGGAAATTCATTAGTTTCTAAATAAATTACACAAATCAAAACAGATTTAATGCAGCATTTCAAATCAAACTCAATTGATTATTTAATATGTTTTAAATTTGAATTATAACCAGGGCTGCCAAACGAATTTCTGCAAAAGTGTGGCAACCTATTAAACTTTTGCCAGGTGGCAAGACCAAAACAACTGTTTGCCAAGGCTACAAAAAAGAAAAAAAAAACCAATTTGCATAAACTTATTAGGTTTAAAATACCAAAACGGACTTAAGCTCTTTTATTATTATTATTTAAAACAAAATTGTTCTAATGCTTGTAGCTAATATTATATCTATTATGGGTACATTGCTCTTGGCTTGTTTCGGACTCAGCAGCGAATAGCGCAAAATAGAATTCATCCAAAAACACGTTTCGCAAATATTTGAAATATTTCGTTCTGCTTTGGACAGGTTTTTTGTTTTTTTGCGTATTGGATTGAAATTTCACAAAACTAATTCGTAAAATTTGCACATACAAAATATTTTAACAAATAACATTACAAATAGAAAAACAATTCAAATACTTATAGGGATTTTGATCTGTTTTGCATGCGCAACATGCGAGTTGCGGATGAACAGCACAAAACTTTGGCCCTGCGCACCGAGCTGAAAACCGTCTATAAATCCACTTTAAGCAAATGTTTCAGATTGACGCCGAAACGTAAAGTAAAATGGTACAACAGCTCCACCATGCTGAGTATTGAGAAGCCCATGAAGAGGCCAAAGATACCGCCGCAGTTGGCCAAAAAATCGGTCACGCCATACATTTCGGATCGTTTCGAGGTAATAAACTGGCTCTGCTTGAAGTAAATGGAGAGCCTGGACATCTGAGAGCCGGGATAGTCGCGCATGAACTCCGTGTCGCCTTCGGCGGCGAGCATTTCCTCCAAATCAAAGTTGGCCTGCGAGATCTCCGTGTTGTACACCAGCGAGGTGCAGGCGGGCATGCAATTGCATGCTGTCTCCACGCCCCTCGGCGCCTCGCCGACAACGTTTAGGCTGCGAACGCGATGGAATTCGCGCACAAGCAGCTCGCGCTCGGCCAAATTATAGCAATAGATTTTGTCCTCACCGCAGACCGGCATGTCCAGGCTGCGCGGCATCGAGAACTTGACACAGCCGCATTTGGTCAGCGTAAAATTGGCCAGGCACTCCAGCTGGCAATTGGACTCGGAGTATACCTTGAAGAAACGCAACGATCGCTCGCGGCTGAGGAAGCACTGTCGCCGCTGTGGATGATATTCGGCAATGCCCGCGGATGTGGTTATCATGCTGGGCTTAACGGCAATGAGCACCTCCCTGCCCATGGGTATGCGCACAAACTGCTTGGACACCTGCGGTACATCGTCCGGCGCATGCAGCAGCACCTTGAAACCCTGCACTGGGCCACGGCAGGCATAGTCGACCTCCTGCTTGAAACTTTGCAGCGTCATAAATATGCCCGAACGAGCGCCGGCGCTGAGCACCCGTGCCGGATATGTTTCCACATCGCTGGCCGGATCATAGCCCGTCTCCAGGCTCCACGTCGATTGTGTGACATTCTCCACTTCGCTGTAATTATACTGATACGTGTCCTCGCGATAAATATCGGTGGGCCGCATCCCATTGAACGTATAACAGATGCCCTCCTCTGTCAGTGTTCGGCGAAAGTATTTGTCGCACTCGTTGAATCGACTTAGCCAGCGGCAATAGAAGAAATACCGTTCGAAGGGCGGCAGCATGCGCTCCAGCACCGCGAAATAGTCCAGCTCCTCTCCGGGTATTAGTGGCATATCACGATCTATGATGTGCGTATTGCACACATGGAGCAGCGTGCGAAACTCATCCATTTCGATGGCGGTGATATTTTGTGGCTTAAAAATGCGCGTCGCTCGCATATCATGCGAGAACTGGTTGTAGAGATGCGCAAAGGAATTGTTGCTATTCGCTTTAACCACACGTTTCGTTTCCGAGCATATGGTGACCGCCGGAAAGGGTATATTCCAGACGGGCGTTGATCTTTCCGCAAAGCTAACAATCACTGGAGTCTCATTCCACTTGGTGTAGGCGCTGTTGATCAGCGTGGCGCAACAGTAAATGGACACCACAAACACGGACAGCCAAAAGATGCGCTCCTTAATCGGTCGCTGCTCCTCGCCCAGATACTGCACACCGTGTATGGAGGATTGCTGGCAATATTCCTGGTACGCATTTACGAAGCATTTGCACAGGGGTTTCCCGATCGACGGGTGGCGCTTTTTTTTCGATGTCAGATCGATGCCGTCGTTGTTGCTCTCCATGTCTGCATCCGGCACAGACATACTTCCATCCATTTCGTAACTCTTGGCGCGCACAAACATGGTTTAAACAAAACAACAGAAATTAGGAAAAATCCAGCAAATAGCATTAAACGACTATCAAGTGCGCGTGTGTGTGTGTGTTTTTACCGTAATTTTGGCTTTGCAACAAGTACGCTGATCGTGTCACAAACATGGCCTAGAAATAGGAGTATATGGTGTCTAAATAGTTTCTACGGTGTTTTATTGTTTCATAATTGAATATATTCAAAATAATAAATTATTTTGAATTAAGTAATCTTAAGGAGACCCCTTCAACCTGTTTATGTCCGTTTTAAGATCTCATTAAGATATCTCAATCAACATACAATATTATTCGGGGTTTTTTTTTTCAGGTGCCAGCGCCAAAAATTCAAAAAATCCCTTCGGAATTATTTAGTACATTATAGAGTTGGCACATGCAGCTAAAATACCAAAACATGCTGGGCACACTTGTTTGCTGCTGGTCATACTTTTGTTTATGTTCTGTTGTCATTTGTCTATTACAGTGTTGTTACAAACAGGGCAATGTACAATTGTACACTGCGTACAGTGGTGGTTAAAGATGAAGGTCCAATAAACAGCTGTTTGCTAACATTCAAAATTATCGATAGCAAGAACACAGCGACGCAGCAGCAGCAGCAGCAGCAGCATCAGCAGGCAGCAGCGCAGCCAGTGACAGTAGCAGCCAATATTATGCGAAACAAGAAATCTATAAAAAAGTAGAGCAGCAGCAGCAGCAGCAGCAGTTGGGGTGGGGTAAGCGGGGACAGCAAGCATGGAGCCTCCAGCGCATGTTACCGCAGCGGGCATCGTAACTGTTGTTGAGGGCGCAGCGGATGCTGAGCAAGACAGCCAAGTGACAACAACGCATAAGAATGACGGGCAAGCGGACAATGATGATGACGACGATGACGATGGTGGGGATGACGATGACGATGCCAAGGATGCCTACTTCGAGGCGCGCAATGGCAATGAAAGCGATGAGCTGGAAACGGCATTCCAAAGTGCGTTGACATTGGCCAGTGACGTCAGAGTGAATGTTAGCGATGCAGATGCAGATGCCGAGCACGATGAGAGCCATAGACGCACAGAGCAGCAGCCGGATATTGGACAGGTGCTGCAGCCAGAACCGGATGCCAGCGACGATGTTGTGATGCGCAACCACAGTAAGTGACCCACACGCTTTTCTCATTGTATTGGACTTGCTAATTTGCGCATCCTTTTAACAGCTCCAAGAGACTTGCAACATGAGACAAACAACGAAATTAGCCAGCTGGGAGCAGCGGCCGGCTCAACGGCTGCCAGCGACTCGTCACGACCACCAAATCAACATCAGGCGCTGCTCACGACCAAGTCCTGCGAGATGCCCGGCAGCACGGCATTGGCATCGGCATCGGCATCGGCGGCGACTCTATCGCCGAGTAGCTCGTGCAACGGCAGCATTGGCAGCGAGGGCAGCTGTAGTGTTGGCGGCGGTGCACGTCGCAAGTCCTGGACGCTGTCGCCCCAAAACGGTGGCTCCAAGAAGCGAACCAAACCAAGTTCGGCAGCCACAACAACGGCATCCAATGGTGATAGCTTCAATTTGTGGGTGGCGCGCGAATGCTTTGAGACGGTACCCGCCGAAATGGTGGACACACTGAGTGTTTCCGAACTTCAGGAGCAACAGGAGGAGGAGGAGCAGCACCAGCACCAACAGGAGGAGGAGGAGGATGATGATGATGTCGACGAAGAGGCGGCTGCCGTCGAGAGTCTGCTGGGCGCGGCAGCGGCTCTGCAGGCCAGCGCCTATTTGGGCGGCGGTGCGCAGGTTCGTCAAAAGCATCTGCGACAGCCTGCACAGCATCGTCCGCTAGAGCGCTCGTGGCCGCCACGCGCCATTGGACGCGAGCTAAAGCTTCAGGGTGATGTCTTCAAATTTGATATACTCGATACGGATGAGCGTATGCACCCGGAGGATGGGCCAAGTTACAGCGGTGCCAGCAGTAACAACAGCTCGCCGCTGCGCCTGCTCGGTCAGCCGCCGGAGGCCAGTCCGCCGCCCATGCGCTTTAAGCCGCTCATCCAGAAAAAGATTGGACCCGACAGCTACATCAATACGATCAGCACTCAGAAGGTGCCCGCCCATTTAACGTATGAGTTTCCCACGTTCCCCCTCCAGGAGCAGCACAACAGCATGGCCAGCACCAGCTCTGGCGCTAGCTGCAGCTCTGCTGTTGCCGCCGCCAATGGCCTGGGGGGCCATCACTTTCCCTATCTGCGACAGCATCGACCCCTGACGCGTGCCCTGTCCAATGGCAAGGGCGCCGGCGCCGGCACGGCCACGGATGAACCCTATCATCTGCCTGGCAGCAGCAGCAGCAGCAATTCGCCACGGCTGCTGCTTTCGCCCAAGCGTCAGCGCAGTCCACCCTCGGGCTGTTCCACGCGCAGCGTCTCTCCGCTGGATCTCAGCCTCAGTCCCGAGCAACACTCGCCCACACGCGGACGCGGCGTCGGTGGCCTGGAGTCAATTCTGCCGCTGCCCATGGCGCCGCCGTCCACTTTCCATGCGCAACGCCCTCAGCAGCGACTGTTAAAGCGCGTGGGCGGCGGCGGAGGAGCTGCCGCTGCAGCTGCTGGTGGGCTCATCTGTCCGCCCACGCCCACACATCATGCGCGCCGGCATGCGCGTCTGCAGGCCGTCACTGCCAATTCCAGCACTGCCGGCACAGTGGAGCCGAACTCTAGTCAAATGGATTATAACCAACTGCAGACACCGCCTGGCTCACCAGCTGGCGCGCGGTCAGCGGATGCGGATGCGGATGACAACAATGACATGTTGCACATAAGCAGCACACGTCTGCCCTCCATTCCGGAACGCAGTGCAGCAGCGGCGGCGGCGGCAGCGGCAGCGGCATCAGCTGCCGCAAGCGCTGGCGCGGGCGCGGGAGCTGGCATCATGGAGAGCGCCAGCGGCACGGATCCGCCTTTGCCGCCCGCATGGGAGGCACGCATGGACAGTCATGGGCGCATATTCTATATTGATCATACGACTCGCACCACATCCTGGCAGCGTCCTGGTCCCAGCACAGGTCCCGGCGGTCGCGAGCAGCACCATCGCCAGCAGCTGGATAGACGCTATCAGTCCATACGGCGCACCATCACCAACGAGAATCGCCTCTCGCTGCACGCCGCCGACCCGTCCACTGGCCATGGTCCCAGTCAGCTGTATAGTCTTCCTCGCCAGACAACTGCAACGGCGTCGTCCACAACTGTTGCCGCTGGCGCTGCTGGCGTTGGGACTGCGACTGGGGCTGGGACTGGGACTGGGGCAGCTGTGGCGCCCGGCTCGCTTAATCTGGCCATACATCCGGCGGTGCTGATGCTTTGCCGTCCCGACTTTTACTCTCTGCTGCACACGAACGAGGCGGCGTTGGCCATATACAATCGGAACGCGGCGCTCAAGCATATGGTAATGCGTATTCGTCGCGATCCGCAGTGCTTCCAGCGCTATCAATACAACAAGGATCTGGTGGCGCTTGTCAACACATTTGCCCAGCTGAGCCGCGAGCTGCCCTCCTGTTGGGAGACCAAAATGGATCAGTCCGGCAAACAGTTCTTCATCGATCACCAGCATCGCAAGACGTCCTTTATGGATCCTCGCCTGCCGCTCGAATGTCCACGCGTTGTGCGTCATCGCCAGCAGCAGCAGCAGCACCACCACCACCACCACCATCAACAACAATATTTGCAACAGCCGCAACCGGATCTGGTTGATGGCAATTGCCTGTCGGCCACCAGCGGCCACATCAACTCCAGCAGCTCCGGCAGTTCCGGCAGTTCTGGTGCAACGGTCTCGGGCGTACCGCCGCTGCCGCCACCCCGACCATGTCGGAACAGTCTTAATCAAGCTGCAGCCGCCGCCGCCGCCGCCGCTGCATCCACACACAACTGCACTACGGCGGCGGCCATTGCCTGCGCGCTGAGCCTGAGCGGCGCCGTCGGCGGCCCCAGCAGCAGCGGAGCCACTGCATCCGGTCCAGAGGATGTGCCGATAGCTTACAATGAAAAGGTGAGTACCAGAAACATAGTCTAAACTAATTATCCCAACAGAAACACATATCTCTGACAATAAAACTGACCGACTGACTGACTGATTGACTGATTGATGATCGAGGTACAGGTCAAACCGAAAGAGCTAAAAAGTTGTGGAAAGTGCATTTTAAAGATTTTATTAATAAAGTTCTAAGTTTTCTGCAATACGTGCCACAGGCAAGGCCGGGCAATGCCGGGCAATACTCGCTAGTTAGCAAGAGTTGTGTGGGTTTCAATTATAAATCGAACATTTCCAAAGTCTTGGCTCAGGTTTTGGCTCTTTCTCTTTAATAATCTCTCCCAAGCATATCCTAACATTTCGATTCTCTGTTTATCTTTTACGTCTCACACTTAATTGTAATCCATTTATTTTCTTGTCTTCATGGCAGGTAATCGCTTTTCTGCGTCAACCCAACATCTTGGAGATACTGCGCGAACGGCAGGGCCAGCATACGGTGTCCCGATCGCTGCGCGAAAAAATAAACATTCTGAGAGTTGAGGGCGTGCCCGCCCTGGAGCGTCTGGGCCACGATTTGCAATTGACAATATTGCTTAGGTAAGTGTCTATCATAATAAATACCAGATGATTGGGCTGGAAAAACTGATTGTTGTTGCGGGTTATTTGAGCCCTCCCCACTCACTCGACTTATCCTCTATATATAGAGGAAATTCGTGGATGTATTCCTGAGAAGCGTCTGAGCATGACTGATCCCATAAAATAGATACCATATTCTTGAACAGGACAGGGAACTTAGTCTATCTAGCCAATCTTCCGCTCGTCTGAAATATACATTCCCCTATGCAAAATGCAAAACGAGTTTATCATATTTTGTCAATATATTTATCCCATTGCCAAAATATCGAGAGACACGATTTACAGCGAATTTCGTATATATGCTTTTGTATATACAAATACATCAAAATTGAAAAATAACCTTGTATTTCATCCGAATACCATTTTTATGCCCAATTCGATCGGACAATAAGCACCGAAGCTCGTTAAGGGAAGAACTGCGCATTTATTCATGTTGCAAGAATGTCTTTACTGGTATTAGGGTATCTTCTAGTTGGGCACGCCTCGACTAGTTGATTTAAACTTCTTACTGCCAGTCACAGAAGTCACAGAAGTCACAGTCATAGCCATCAGTTGCACTTGGCAAAGGCTTTGGCACAAATTGCATTGCATTGCCGCGTCTTCATCGGCGAGCCGCGCGCCGCAATGGATCGATCGGTGGTCGGTTCGTGGTGTTGGTGGTTCTGTTGGTGGTGTTGATGGCGGTGTTGGTGGTGACTTGGTCGTCCTGCTTGAGTGCGCTCGGCGACGTTGTTGTTGAACGTGTGTGTGTGTGTGTGTGTGTTAATTGCATTTGAAAATCGCTGCGAAGGTTGTACGCTTATTTTCCAAAACACTTTTAATAACAACAACAACAACAGCAACAGCAACAACAACAGCAACAACAACAACAACAACAACAGCAACAACAACAACAACAACTTAAGCGAGGTTAGCAAAATATTTGTAAAGCTACAAATTGCCCGAACCTCCTACAGCACCAGCTCCTGAGCCATTAGCTGGCTAGCTGATATTTATTGTCTAATTGCCAATATTTCTTCAAAATGTTGACTCAACCACAACTATTGAGGAAATATGAGAACTATTCACATGCATTTTCTGACCTTAATCTGACATGTTGTTAATAGATTAAGCCACAGATTAGCTGGCATTATCCAAGACAGCTTCAAACGGCTCAGCCCCAACCAATTGAAATTGTTTGATTTAATTGCATTCGATTAGACAAATTATCGCGCTCCATTGCATCCCAAAAACCGGGCTACCAAATCCGAGCTGGCATTGCCGTGGGCGTGTCCACTCCATCTACCTGCTGCAAGTAAACACCAACATGTGCATGTTGATAAGATAAAAATGCATCTCACATTCAACTATTCTCTAAATGGGTTTGGGCCAGGATTGTTTAAATAAATTTTGAGTAAATAACAGGATCTTTTTTCAACTAAATTTGATTGAGTCTTCTTCAAAGTGGAGAAGGCCCATTAACAGGGTGTCCCATTTAAATGTTGCATACATTTTACTTCTTCATTCAGTATGTTGTCGCTTTACAATTTAGGGGAAGGCCCCTTAACAGGGTGTTCCATTTAAATGTTGCATACATTTTACTTCTTTTAGTTTGCTATAGCTTATTTTTGTTTGTTCGAGCTTGTCTGAAGATTCCCTAAAAGAAATTGATGAATAGATCTATATATACCCATATATATATATATTAGATTTATGAGAAATTGTTCTTCTAGAGATATTGTAGCATATATCAATTCGATACTGATTAAGTTTGGTTCTTATATGTGGATTATGGTAGAGCTCGTAAATGCCAAGTTTAGTTTAGATATCTAAAAAAAAACTAAAAGCTATATGACATACTGGACCCATGTCAATGCTTTTATCTAGGCAACGTGAAGAAGATATTTTTCCACAAAATTGTCTATTGGCTAAGGGAAAGTGCTCGTAAAAAAAGAGGAGCCTTTTCTACACATTATTGTTAAATGATATTGCTTTCACAACACTTGAATGTATAGCAAAGCTTTAACATCTGGCCTCATGCATAATTCCTCTCACTCTCTCTCCCGCCCAACTCCGAAATCACGAATTGTACAGATCTGACGCAAGAGTCACCCTGTACGAACACAGCTTACCATCATATTACGGTTTTTCATAAATGATGTGTAAAATTTAGTGTTAGCCGCGCCCCTTTCACAGAGAATCCAAAAATACTAGTTAGCCTTGCGCTTGCCACTCCACTTTTAATATTCATGCTAATCCCTTGAAGAGGAGACGCGACGAGACGCTGTTTAACCCAATTTCAGTTCAGTTGTATTTTGTTTTTTTTTTTTTTTTTGGGGCTGCGGCCGGCGACAAATGAGCGTTGCCAATAAACCATAATTTATTGGCTAGGCAGGGTTTCAGCGCCGGCTTCAGCTGCAGCGTTCCGACTCGGGGTGGGGGTGTGGCAACGACGTCATCGTCATTATTGGCAACGCTGCTGCCGCTGCTGTTGCTCATGATGATGATGATGATGATCATTGGGGCAGCGTTTTTGTCACAACTGAAGCGTTGACAAGCTTTCAGCTTTTCAGTTATTGTTGAGGGTCTATTTGTGTTTGTTATTTGACCCATTGAAGGAGACTCTTGCCCGTTGCTTGCTGTCGTCTCGCATGGTTTACAGTTCATTGGGCTTGGGCCTGGGCGTGCTAAATGCATGACGCGCCTTTAGGTCAAACTACCAGCCCCCACTCCTAGCCAGACCCAGTCAGAGGGACGCCCCCTCGCTCCCAGAATACAAAAACAAAAAATAATATCAGCCGGCGATCGGCTGATGAGCCACAGCTTTAACCATGACCAACGCCACAGTCGTCATCGTTGCACACATGCCTCGGCCCTCTGGCGGTCGGCGCAATCGTAATCAAAAAAAAAAAAAAAAAAAAACTGCACCACCCATGAGTCAGTCACAGCCCCCCCCCGTTAGCCCAGAGCCGCGCAGCCGCCGTCGGCGTCGTCAGCGTCTATTGGTTCTTGAAGCGGTAGCCGCGGCAGCAGCTGCTGCTGACGTCGGCGCAGCAGAACTTAAAGTTCGGCAATTGTTCGTCTGCGCTTCGGCTGCACTTCGGCACACACAAACATAGAAAAGAACTACAATTAAATAATTTTCTTTGCTCTGTTGTTGTTGTTGTTGTTGTTTATTTTGTGCGCTTGCTTAATTTCATTTCCAATTCCATATTTATCGGCTGGGCGCTAGACAAAACGCGTCCATTCTGCGTTTGCTATTCGACATTAAAAAATGCGCCGGGTTCGCGCCTCGGCCTCGCACAAAAACTAACTCCGACTCCGATTCCGACTCCGACTCCGATCTTGTTGTTGTTTTAGTTCTCGTTCGATTTCGCGCGCCTCTTTAAACTGAAAAAAAAAAACTGACACCAAACCAAAAACAAAAAAAAAACTCAAAAAAAAAACAGAAGCATTTTAACTGTCAGCGCGTGCAAGTCGCCGCAGTGTCGAAAATAACAACAAGCGAAAAAAAAAAACAAAAATCATAAATAAATAAATATACGAAAAAAAACTAAGAACTACTTAATATTAAATTAAAACTGTGAGCTTGTTTTTTTTAGTTTATTAATTTTTTACTGTGCTGTGAACAGTTCTGATAGAATTTCAAGCATTCAACGGCATGTTCAAGCATCCAGAGGTCAAGGCTCTGGGCGTACTACAAAATGGGCTTTCTATCCAAGGCCGCCTACATTGTGTGGGCCGTGTAAGTAACTAACCTAGCCCAATATCCCAAGCTCTCTTCTGTGTGCCTGTGCTGCCCCCAACCCTTGGCCCGCCCTCGGGTCAGCCGGTTGTGTGTCAACAAATATACTCGGAGTGGAGCTTAAATCATGACTAAATTTGTGCGAATTACTTGCATTTGTGAAATACATACAAAGTCGGGTGTAAAGATACACAGCACTTGGCCAAAGCAATCCCATTACATTTTGCTCACATATCCCACTTTTTTTAAAACATTTTTTAGATTATTTTCTAAGATTCTTGTGTTGAGCTTTTAAGTATCTTCTACAAAGTAGAGCACATAAATCAATTGGAGGAGCACTATAATATTTGAAATCTTATAACTATTCGAAATGCAGGCAAGAAGAATCGAAGACCGAATATTTATATTAGAATATTAGAATTTGTAACTTAGCTTAGCCCTTGCCCTTTTAGGCCAAGCTTTAAACTTGATTTAAAGTTTCGTTAAAAGCTGGCGAAAGTTTTCTTCAAGGCATTGGCAAGACAACAAAGCTTTGTTTTGTAGTTTTCCAAACAACGATCTTCAGAAAAGAAAAACCAGCCAGAAAAACAAAAAAAAAAAAACAAACCAAACCGCAATTGCTGAAGGAATTTGAAAGCGTTCTGCAAAGCATTTAAGTAGATCAATAGATCAGGTGAATTTCAAATTTCAAAATTGCCTAACCGTAAAGATAAACCCAGTCCATATCTATCCATCTATGCATCTATGCATTTATTGTATTCAAGCGGCACGGACAAGTACGTCAACATCCTGAGTTCTCGTATTACACGCTTGCATTCCACATTTATTTGCCATACACAACGCGAAATAAGCGCCAAATGAATCATTTGCCATTTGAATGGCCACAAATAACGCGTATCCAGCAATTTTCAAATGCCCCAAAGTTGCAGAGGAAGCACGGCAATGCGCAGTTCCTTGCCACATGTTGCAGTTCTCACGATTCTGTTCTGTTGCCGCATTGCCACCCAGAGAAGACGCTAACCTGAACTGTCTATCAAGTGTCCCAGTTTCTGGTTACTGCTTAAATCTGGAATGCAACGCAAACAACATCGCCATCTTTTCTAAATCTGGTCAATTCTCTGGTCGCCGCTGCCCGACTCGAATATACCCTGCAAATCTTCTAGCTACCCTTTGTTGTCCCCTCGCCATTTTGAATAGCTTCCATCTTTGCAGATTGTATCTTTTTTCTTTCGCGAAAGCTGTACATCCTTTTGATCAGTGTACTCTATATAGGATGACCAAATTGTTCGAGCTGTGCTGTTAAGAAACGTTGTTAAAAAATCGATAAATTCCGATATTATATCGATAAGCATTCAACATGTTCTACAAGAACTCTTTTTATGCCCTTTCTGCTGGCCACTTGCCAGGGAGCACAGGGTATTAAAACATTATCCAATTGTTGTTGGCTCCAATTACTTAGGACTGGCTCAAGGATCCGGCGAGAGTCCGGCTGAAGTGCCTTTCGCTCGTATTGCACAACAATCGAAATCAATTGAGTTCCGAAACATGTTGGGCTCTTATCGAGGCACTCGTCGAATTGCGGCTGTCCACATTGTAAATTGGTGACAATCGAACAACTGTTGCAACTGCCACCGGATTACCCATGGGCCCCCTCTTCCCCTTCCCCCTGCGACTTGCGACATCGGTTTTTTTTTTTTTTTTTGATTAAATTCGTAATACCCCCACAATGGCTTTATCTAGCCATATGCCTTATCAATGCTATCGGGCCCTGCTCTCATGCCCTCCCCGCTTCCCCCCCTACTCCCTCGCTCTTTCGCTTACTCCCGCTCTCTCCTAACTGCACGGGTTTTACTGCAGCACCTACGCTCGAGCTCGAGAACTTGCGCAGACCTCAGTTGGTATTTTTTTTGTTCGGTTCTCGGATCGTCTACATTTCGCTTGTGGCTGCTAGAACTTTGGGTTGTTTTTTGTTGAAATTAAAAACTTAATTAAATTCTTTGAAGTACACCAATTGAGTATCCAGCGGGGCCTTGCAACCAGCCAAGGGTTGCGTCAATCAAATGGGACTCTTTTCCAAGTTCAGCTATACCTATAATACCATGTGGGCCAAGTGAGTGTTGTTGTCGTTGTTGTTGTTGTTGTTGTTGTTGTTGTTGCGGAAGAGACCAGCATAAAGCGTCTCATATTTTCATGATGTACGAACATATTTTGCATACTGCACATACGTATGTAACATACATTTACTCTGCATATTTCTGGAATTTTGTTTTGTTTTTGTTTTGGAAGTTGAGCCTGGGAATATCTTTGAATGACATGCATACATACATAGTTCGTATGTGCCTTGTATGCATTTGCAGTGTTCCGGTGACGTCTTGTTACCAGAGCTGGAATCAGAGACAGCTAGAATTTCGAATAGGTTGCGGCTACAGCATATGTTGCCCACAATAGATACACAAAGAAGACTATTTATTTGTCTACCAATATATATTATATATAATGTAATGGGCATTTAATACAAAAACACAGCTGCATTTTTGCCTAAGTACTCAGTTTTTCACCTATTTTCCGCTCACAATTGTGGATTTGTCAATAGAGCTAAAACAGATATTAATAGATATATCATTTGATATGATATTATATTTAAATTGCTTTGAGAATTAAAACGAATAATATTGAAATACTAAGCTATTCTGCCAACTTTATTTAGTTGATAAATATGAGATATGAGGTGTACTCGTTCAACGCATTCTACTTACATAAACATAAATCTCATTGTGAAGTTTTCTATTTGCTTTTGTTTTGTTTTTTTTGGATTACATTCATGATTATGCATCCGGCTAGTTGCTTTCTGATAAGCCGTGCATACATGAGTTAGTTCTTGCAAAGTGGTTCAATAGCCCTTTCTGATAAAAGGGTATACATATGTATGAGATATACCTACAGTCGTGGTCAAAATAATGTGCACATTGCCACAACTCACATGGACTGCCGTATATATTGGAAATTCGAATGCAAATTAGTTGGACATCAAAATTAAAGGGAATATCTTGTGGTTCGGAGTTACTTGCATGTCCCCTCTCTCACTCTGGTATTTCGTGCCATGCATTTGCCCCCTTCCGTATAAGTGCATGTTCCAGAAGAACGGAAGATCGCCGAGCTAATTCAATTAAGTTTGACCGCACCCAAAACGGTTGCTACAAATCATGTTTGTCATCGGTCGAGTAAGTAGAACAGGGAAGATGACACCACCGAGCGCAGCACCACACGCACGCACCACTGTGGGCGACGCGCGCCCGCATTGATCGCGTTTAAAGTCGCGCGCGTTTTCGGCGCTTTTAATTTAAGTTAATTGCAATTTCCTGTGCTGGTGTTTTTTTTTTTTTTTTCGTTTTTCGTTTTTCGGTTAATAATTTGTTAACTTTAGTCAATTTTGAAAGTAATTTGACACGGCTCAAATTATATTGCCGATCAGTTACCAATTCGAATTAACATTATTTTAGTTTGTTTTTGATGTTTGTTTTTTTCTTTTCATTTTTTTTTGGAAATTAGTCATTTCCGTGCCGCGCGAAAGAGGCGTTAATTGCACTCAAACTGTTGTCACTAGTTGCACGGCGTCACGCCCCGCACCAGCAACTGACCCCCCCCCCCCCTCTCTGTCTCTCCCTCAGAGCGATCGCCATAATTTGTATTATTAATTGACCAATTTTCAAATTCAAGTTGAAGGTCAAAAAGTAAGCGCGAAATAGCACAGAAAAAAAAAAACGCAACTCGAATTCAAATTATGAATCGGCAATTAGAATATACACGCAGTGCCAGATATATTGGAGCCCAGCATATTATTGGAGTCCACGATTTCTGGCCGAACACCGAAGCCCGTTGGGAAAAGTGCCGAGTGCCAAGGTCCGCTGCGGTCAGCTTAAATTCTTCCGGCTGCGCTTTTTTGTTTTTTTCGTTTCCCCATATTTATTTTTTCTGTTTGTTTTTCGATCATTTGTTTTGCCGTTTTTCAAATGGAAAATCAAGGCACAGTTTGATGCGGGTTGCAATTTATTTTTGTGCTTTTCATATTTACCTTGCGGAAAGCCTAGCATATGCCAACGAGAGTTCATATCCGGATATATGAACATATATCTAAGTAAAAATTGCAGAATCAATCATAAGATTATAATATGCTTGTTAAATGGCAACCCTGCTTGTAATCAAAACGATAAATGACTAGGTGGCAACGCTTTTGCTGTACAGGACGTCGCCTTTTGAAAACAACTGACATTTAGCCCCATTTCTGTCTTATATGCAAACAAATACATTTATCAATGTTTAACAATGTCATTTTTAATATTTGCCTTTATTGTTGGTGAATATTTCATTAACTGATAAGCCTTGGCTAGAAAATATCGATAGATACAACAGGAATTTATAAATCAATCGATTTACGCTCAAGAGACCTCATAATTATAAAATGATCAATTCTTTAGCTGATCGATAGAAGATGAGAAATGGTAGCGTTGTCATCAGCTGATTATTGGAATCGATAAACGATAAACGTTAATCGATAAATCACTGTGACATCCACATCGATCCATAAACTGTTATTGCACTGTGACAGGGTATTGGGCAGTCGGCTGCACTCGATAAGTGCCGCCGTAGCTGCTAATAGGTCTCATTAGTAGATTGTCAGCTTAGCTAGTGGGAAAACGGAGAGCTAATCAATTGCGGCCATTGAAAAATGTGTCCATTAGTTAACGCCTGGCCCGGCTGGAGCCGGGTCAGAAATAATGTTCATGTTTTGACAAGTGCATTCAATGCCAGAGCTCAGCGTGACCTTTCTCCTAATCTCTCTCTCTCTCTCTCTCTCTTTTTTGTTGTGCAGCCTCTTCGAGCAGGAGATCATGAGCTATGTTCCGATTGAGGAGCGCAGTCCACAGGGCTCGCCGGTGCTCAGCTCCCGGATGCCGCAACGGGCGCCGCCGCCATTCCGTCGCGACTTTGAGGCCAAGCTGCGCAGCTTCTACCGTAAGCTGGAGTCCAAGGGCTACGGCCAGGGGCCACACAAACTGAAGTAAGTGAATGCCCAAATATGTGGCTGCTGCAGGCTCTTATCAATGTTCTTTTGCAGATTGCACATCCGACGCAGCCATCTGCTGGAGGACGCATTCCGTCGTATAATGTCCGCCAACAAGAAGGATCTGCAGCGCGGCCGGCTGGCCGTGCTGTGGGACACAGAGGAGGGCCTCGACTATGGCGGGCCGTCGCGCGAATTCTTCTTTCTGCTGTCCCGTGAACTGTTCAATCCCTACTACGGCTTGTTCGAGTACTCCGCCAACGATACGTACACCGTGCAGGTGTCGCCGTTGTCGGCCTTTGTGGACAACTGCCACGACTGGTTCCGGTTTAGCGGGCGCGTCCTGGGCCTCGCACTGGTCCATCAATATCTGCTGGACGCGTTCTTCACGCGTCCCTTCTACAAGGCGCTGCTGCGTCTGCCGGTCGCCCTCAGCGATCTGGAGTCGCTGGACAACGAGTTCCATCAGTCGCTGCAGTGGATACGGGACAATGATATTGGCACTGGCATTGATCTGGGGCTGACCTTCTGCGTTACCGAGGAGCTGCTGGGGCGCGTTGTTGAGCGCGAACTGAAGCCGGGCGGCAAGAATCTCATTGTGAATGAGAAGAACAAGAAGGAGTATCTGGAGCGAATGATCAAATGGCGCTTGGAGCGCGGCGTCCAGGAGCAAACGGAGTCGCTGGTGCGCGGCTTCTACGAGGTGGTTGACTCGCGGCTGGTCTCCGTCTTTGATGCACGCGAACTGGAGCTGGTTATAGCCGGCACCGCCGAGATCGATACCAACGATTGGCGCCTAAACACCGAATACCGTTCCGGCTACCATGACAACCATCAGGTGATCATCTGGTTCTGGCAGGTGATCGAGCGCTTCAGCAATGAGCAGCGGCTGCGCCTGCTGCAGTTCGTCACGGGCACATCCAGCATACCGTACGAGGGCTTCTCGGCGCTGCGCGGCTCCACCGGACCGCGCCGCTTCTGCATCGAGAAATGGGGCAAGCCGAACGCTCTGCCCCGCGCCCACACCTGCTTCAATCGGCTCGACCTGCCGCCCTATCCCACGCCCGAGCTGCTCTACGAGAAGCTGCTGCTGGCCGTCGAGGAAACCAATACCTTTGGCATCGAGTGAATCCGCCAGACACTAATTGCCATGTCGAGGATGATTGTGGATTCGGCTCTAGATTTGCACTTGCCATTTTGCAGCTGATGCGTGATATTTGTTGGTGTTTGCATCTTCTTATTTGATTTATTTTCCTTAGCCCAGCGCATTGCTTATTATTTTTATTATTTTTTTTATTTTATTTTTTTTTTATATTATTATTATTATTGCTTTTTTTTTCCATTGTATTTATTGTATGTATTAGTGGCTTCGGGCTGGCATATTGTTGTTGCCAGCAATTCGATTAGCTCAACAGACTGTTTTTTTTTTGTTTGTTTACCCCACAGCAAATGATCGTATATATCACATATATATAACTATATATATTAATTATTCTTATATATTGTATTATGCTGGCGAATCGCGTTGCTTGCAAATTTCAACTTTGCCGCTTTGATTTTGCCGTTACCGTTACTGTTACCGTTACCTCAACAACATTTTTGCCAGCGCCCAAATGCGCCGCACTTTGCAGTCATTAGACGTAAGATACACACACACACACACACACACAGACACACACACACACACAGACACAGACAGGCCTCTGAACCAATGCGAAAATGCATTCTCTAGCGCTTAGGAAGCCCACACAACTCTTGGACTTGGAACTAATGAACTAAAGTTCGTTCCGTTGAACTTGTTTACTTAAAAGCTGCCTAAAGGAACTTTGCAACTTACAACTTACAACTTAAAGCTCGTCGTTAAAGCCTAGCGAAACTTTGAATCGTTTTTCTTAGCATTCCAAAAAAAAAAAAAAAAAAAACCAAAAAAAAACTCTGAACAAAACTGATTAAAAACACGGAAAACTTTAATTCAAGGTGATAAAAAACCGTTGATAAATTCTACGCCAATACTTAAATAGCTTGTAATTTCTTAGCCTTAAAAAAAAAATCTCCTTAGATGTGTGCGTTATTAGCTATGCATTCCATTTAGGAATTGAAAGATTGAAGATACGTATGTTAGTTATAATATTTCGAACTAAAACTTATACTGAATTCGTAACAAATAAGTGAACTGTTTTTAAATTTACAAAAATTATTGAAAACCCGATTGTACGACTACAAATATATATATATATATATATATATATATATATACCCGAATGCATAAAGGTATATGTGTATATATATATATATATATATATAGAGCATATGATCAGGTTGATACCCAATACAAATTGGTCCAATGCGTTGCTTTGGCTTTATTGGTTTTTTCGGCGCATACAAATTAATCTTAACCACAAATCAAAATAACGAAATTTATTAGCAAACATTCAATGAAAATGCATACAAATTTTTAATATTAGCATTAAAAAATGAACAAATAAATTTGAAAAAAAAAAGAAAGAAAACTAACTAATAAATGGTGATTTGTTTACATGTATTTTGGCATTAGTTAAGCGCAAGTTAAGCAAAGTGGAAAAAGCGAGACAGAGGTAGGAAGTGAGTTAGAGCAGGATAGAAAAACGCTTTTTTGAACTATCTACGAGTATATTGATAATTGAGAACGTTTTATTGTATTATTATGTGCGTGTATTTATTGAATAAATTAACTATAATTAACGAATTAATAAATGTGAGCCTTTTACTTGAAAAGCCAAATGCTATCTTTGTATTTTAAATGCCCTAACTAAGAACTTTGTTTATTTAGAGCTCCACACATGAAGACACATTCCTGATTTGGACAAAATTACAAAACAATGCGAAAACTCCAAATAAAACCATGGAGCTTCACATATTTAAGGTCACATAAGGTCGCTTCGGATATATAAGGTCACATTTAAAGAAGACAAGAAATTACGTTTAAAACAAATAAATAAATAAATAAAATAAATAACCAAATACCTCTTTTTACTGCTACCAAGGCACATTTCTTGGCAATCAAGATTAATATAAAACAAGCAAGAGGTTCTTGTGGGGAGCTCCCGACTAGGGCATACCCTGAACCCTCTTCTACCAACATCAAATGCATATATATATATTGTATTTTAGAAGCTATATGTCAAGCTTGGGGACTCTAGCTCTTATTATTTACCAAAATTGTCCAAAAAACAGGATATCGATATCGATTTTTATCGATTGCTTGGAAACGGAGTAAGTTATCGATTATCGGAAACAAACTCGATCAGCGCAGGCACTAGGAGCACCTAAATCTAAAATGTCAAGTCTATAGCTCTTATATGTTCTGAGATCCTTGCGTACGGATTTGGATTTCGCACAAATACAATATACCCTTATACCCATTTTTAATGGGTTCCGCGCAGAGTTTTATGCCGAGATATTATGTCGTTTTGGAACGTCATATCTCCGCGCTATTTCCCGAGATATTATGTCGGTTTAAAACGTCATATCTCCCCGCGGAGCTATTGCCCGAGATATTATGTCGTTTTGGAACGTCATATCTCCGCGCTATTACCCGAGATATTATGTCGTTTTGGAACGTCATATCTCCCCGCGGAGCTATTACCCGAGATATGATGTTGGTTTGGAACGTCATATCTCCCCGCGGAGCTATTGCCCGAGATATTATGTCGTTTTGGAACGTCATATCTCCGCACGGATCTATTACCCGAGATATTATGTCGTTTTGGAACGTCATATCTCCGCGCTATTACCCGGGATATTATGTCGTTTTGGAACGTCATATCTCCCCGCGGAGCTATTGCCTGAGATATTATGTCGTTTTGGAACGTCATATCTCCGCGCTATTACCCGGGATATTATGTCGTTTTGGAACGTCATATCTCCCCGCGGAGCTATTACCCGAGATATTATGTCGTTTTGGAACGTCATATCTCCGCGCTATTACCCGGGATATTATGTCGTTTTGGAACGTCATATCTCCCCGTGGATCTATTACCCGAGATATTATGTCGTTTTGGAACGTCATATCTCCGCGCTATTACCCGGGATATTATGTCGTTTTGGAACGTCATATCTCCCCGCGGAGCTATTGCCCGAGATATTATGTCGTTTTGGAACGTCATATCTCCGCACGGATCTATTACCCGAGATATTATGTCGTTTTGGAACGTCATATCTCCCCGCGGAGCTATTGCCCGAGATATTATGTCGTTTTGGAACGTCATATCTCCGCGCTATTACCCGGGATATTATGTCGTTTTGGAACGTCATATCTCCCCGTGGATCTATTACCCGAGATATTATGTCGTTTTGGAACGTCATATCTCCGCGCTATTACCCGGGATATTATGTCGTTTTGGAACGTCATATCTCCGCGCGGAGCTATTTCCCGAGATATTAAGTCGTTTTGGAACGTCATATCTCCGCGCGGAGCTGTTACCCGAGATATTATGTCGTTTTGGAACGTCATATCTCCGCGCTATTAACCGAGATATTATGTTGTTTTGAAACGTCATATCTCCGCGCGGAGCTATTTCCCCAGATATTATGTCGTTTTGGAACGTCATATCTCCGCGCTATTACCCGGGATATTATGTCGTTTTGGAACGTCATATCTCCGCGCGGAGATATTACCCGAGATATTATGTCGTTTTGGAACGTCATATCTCCACGCTATTACCCGAGATATTATGTCGTTTTGGAACGTCATATCTCCGCGCGGAGCTATTTCCCGAGATATTAAGTCGTTTTGGAACGTCATATCTCCGCGCGGAGCTATTTCCCGAGATATTATGTCGTTTTGGAACGTCATATCTCCGCGCGGAGCTGTTACCCGAGATATTATGTCGTTTTGGAACGTCATATCTCCGCGCTATTACCCGGGATATTATGTCGTTTTGGAACGTCATATCTCCCCGCGGAGCTATTACCCGAGATATTATGTCGTTTTGGAACGTCATATCTCCGCGCGGAGCTATTTCCCGAGATATTATGTCGTTTTGGAACGTCATATCTCCGCGCGGAGCTGTTACCCGAGATATTATGTCGTTTTGGAACGTCATATCTCCGCGCTATTACCCGGGATATTATGTCGTTTTGGAACGTCATATCTCCGCGCAGAGCTATTGCCCGAGATATTATGTCGTTTTGGAACGTCATATCTCCGCGCGGAGCTATTTCCACAGATATTATGTCGTTTTGGAACGTCATATCTCCGCGCTATTACCCGGGATATTATGTCGTTTTGGAACGTCATATCTCCGCGCTATTACCCGAGATATTATGTCGTTTTGAAACGTCATATCTCCGCGCGGAGCTATTTCCACAGATATTATGTCGTTTTGGAACGTCATATCTCCGCGCTATTACCCGGGATATTATGTCGTTTTGGAACGTCATATCTCCGCGAGGAGCTATTACCCGAGATATTATGTCGTTTTGGAACGTCATATCTCCGCGCTATTACCCGGGATATTATGTCGTTTTGGAACGTCATATCTCCGCGCAGAGCTATTACCCGAGATATTATGTCGTTTTGGAACGTCATATCTCCGCGCTATTACCCGGGATATTATGTCGTTTTGGAACGTCATATCTCCGCGAGGAGCTATTACCCGAGATATTATGTCGTTTTGGAACGTCATATCTCCGCGCTATTACCCGGGATATTATGTCGTTTTGGAACGTCATATCTCCGCGCAGAGCTATTACCCGAGATATTATGTCGTTTTGGAACGTCATATATCCGCGCTACTACCCGGGATATTATGTCGTTTTGGAACGTCATATCTCCGCGAGGAGCTATTACCCGAGATATTATGTCGTTTTGGAACGTCATATCTCCGCGCTATTACCCGGGATATTATGTCGTTTTGAAACGCCATATCTCCGCGCAATTACCCGAGATATTATGTCGTTTTGGAACGTCATATATCCGCGCTACTACCCGGGATATTATGTCGTTTTGGAACGTCATATCTCCGCCCTATTTCCCGAGATATTATGCCGTTTTGGAACGTCATATCTCCGCGCTACTACCCGGGATATTATGTCGATTTGGAACGTCATATCTCCGCGCTATTATTCGGGATATTATGTTGTTTTGGAACGTCATATCTCCGCCCTATTTCCCGAGATATTATGCCGTTTTGGAACGTCATATCTCCGCGCTACTACCCGGGATATTATGTCGATTTGGAACGTCATATCTCCGCGCTATTATTCGGGATATTATGTCGTTTTGGCACGTCATATCTCCGCTCT